ACCCGTGGACGACCCCGCCCCCCCCCCCCTCCAGGTCATAGCAGAGCCACCTCCTCCAGCACACGCATACACACAGCTCTTCTCTCCGTGTCACGCATCCAGCGCTCTGCTGTCAGTGCTGAGATGCAGGGCCAGTGGTAGGAGTTTTGCAGCACAGGACCTGCTCAAGGGGCAGCTGCTTTGGGCCCCACAACAATGACTAGGCCCTGGGCAGCTGCCCCTTTTGCCCTGCGTTAAAGACGGCCCTGCTTACATATTCAACCACTGACCCTGGACAAGCATGCAGCAAGTCAGAAGAACATCAAACCCCCTTCATGTGCATGCTTGTAGCTGGACCATTGAGTCAGAAACTACTGAAGCCGTAGGATAGGCATGTCAGGGAAGGAACTAACATGTTATGAAGGAGAGGTCAGCAATGGGAACCTTCATAGATCCCTCAGTATACATTTACTATAAGCCAGCACGTGTCACCTTTTTTTCAGCCACTTCACCCAATGCAGAATCTAGAGGGCCCCCCCCCAGTTAAATATGTACAAAAAAGTAGATCCCGTGTGGTATGCAAAAAGGGGTTCTGTTTTTGAATCTGGGTTCCCCTTTCAGATCACAAGTCCCCACTTCACATCAGTTGTTCCCTCTTTACATCACAAGCCCCACTTCAGTTCAGGAGCCCCCCCTTAGATCAGGCGCCCTCTTCACATCAGCAGCCCCCCTTTCATCTCAGAGCCCCTTTTTTTTTATCAGCGTCCCCCTTTTATATCAGAGCCCCCCTTTCATATCAGCGTCCCCCTCTCATATCAGCGTCCCCCTTTCATATCAGCGTCCCCCTTTCATATAAGAGCCCCCCTTTACCGACCCCCAACGTGAGACCTCCGACCCCCAACGTGAGACCTCCGACCCCCAACGTGAGACCTCCGACCCCCAACGTGAGACCTCCGACCCCCAACGTGAGACCTCCGACCCCCAACGTGAGACCTCCGACCCCCAACGTGAGACCTCCGACCCCCAACGTGAGACCTCCGACCCCCAACGTGAGACCTCCGACCCCCAACGTGAGACCTCCGACCCCCAACGTGAGACCTCCGACCCCCAACGTGAGACCTCCGACCCCCAACGTGAGACCTCCGACCCCCAACGTGAGACCTCCGACCCCCAACGTGAGACCTCCATGACATTTCATTCTTCATTATAGTAGAATCTTTAGCCGTTCTCTCTTTGTATCATTGTTACACAGTGAGCCCCTCCCCCCCGAATTACCCCAATTCCACCGCGCCCGAGCCGCGGCCACAGACACGAGAACAGATTTACATCCGCGGAATGAGTTTCTGGTGTCACGATATTTCACCTTGTTCTAGTTCAGTGGAAGATAAATGTTTTGCTCCTTTTTCAGGCAATATTCAAAATGATTAATGCCGAAAACCACAAACATCTTCCGGAGGACGAGAACACCCCGGAGAAGAGAACCAATAAAATATGGGACTACTTCGGCAAGAAGGACAACGGTAATGAAATCTCACATAGAGACTACAATCCCCTCCCCTTCCTAGACAAACCGCTCAGATATAGCATGTCCCCCATGTATAGTGTGTGTTCCGGGGGGAGGGGCAGAGACACCAACTACTGGAGGAAATCTCACCATTGTGGGAGGGGCAGAGACACAAACTACTGGTGGAAATCTCGCCATTGTGGGAGGGGCAGAGACACAAACTACTGGGGGAAATCTCACCATTGTGGGAGGGGCAGAGACACAAACTACTGGGGGAAATCTCACCATTGTGGGAGGGGCAGAGACACAAACTACTGGGGGAATCTCACCATTGTGGGAGGGGCAGAGACACAAGCTACTGGGGGAAATCTCACCTATGCTTTGGGATTAGTTCCAACCATGGGAGCTGTAATTGGATAATATTTTAATGTTTGTGGAATCTTAACACGTTTTATTTATAATATGATGAATGTCTGTGTCCCGTACAATCCAAGTATGACACCTTAAGGGTCACGGGGGGACACAAACTCCCGTCACCCTAGGCTCACTATATAGGGATCTACAGCTCGCGGTATACTGCCGAGATCCACCCAGCTGCGTGATTGACAGCTGGCTCTGCCTATCTAGAGGCTGTGCATGCCCCTCCCCCGTCTGTTCCTCCAGTCAGCGCAATTCTCTTCACATTCTGTCATTTTACGAGTGATCTGCGTTTTCCTTTTTCCAGATAAACTGACTGAAGGAGAATTCATTCAAGGAATCGTCCAGAACAAAGAAATTCTGCGTCTGATCCAATATGAACCCCAGAAAGTCAAAGAGAAGAAACACTAACCGGGAGCGCGGAGGATTCCGCAAAGACTGTGTAGCTGGTTTGTGACACCTCCCCCGACGAGTCCAACGAAACACAAACTGAGGCGCTTCTCGTCCCCAAACTGTCTGTACGCGACGCGCGTCACGTAGGATTGCGCTGTCTGTACGCGACGCGCGTCACGTAGGATTGCGCTGTCTGTAGGCGACGCACGTCACATAGGATTGCGCTGTCTGTACGCGACACGCGACGCGTAGGATTGCACTGTCCGTACACGACGCGCGTCACGTAGGATTGCGCTGTCTGTGCGCGATATGCGTCGCGTAGGATTGCACTGTCTGTGCGCGATGCGCGTCACGTAGGATTGTGCTGTCCGTACACGACGCGCGGCACGTAGGATTGCGCTGTCTGTAGGCGACGCGCGTCACGTAGGATCGCACTGTCAGTACGCAACACGCATCACGTAGGATTGCGCTGTCTGTACGCGGCGCGCGTTACATAGGATTGCGCCGTCTGTACACGACGCGCATCATGTAGGATCGCGCTGTCAGTACGCGCCGCGCGTCACGTAGGATTGCGCTGTCTGTGCAGTAATTAGTCTCCCCCGATAATCTGCGGATTACTTCTTCTACCCTGAAGGTCACTTCCAGTAATCTTGTTACATTAATACTCATCCTGCGAGATAATAATAAAGGTGCCGAAGCCGCAGGAGACAAAAACATTCCAAAAAGTTCCATCAGACCCGAGACATCAGAAAACGCCGGAATTCCTCGGTGACGCTCGCTGTCGGCGGCCGCGGAGTGAACGAGCTTTAGAAGATGTTTTTGTTTCGTAAAAATGTTATTTCTGCAAAAAAAAAGAAAAAAAATAGACGAGGAAATCTTCTTCTTCTTCTTCTTCTTCTTGTTACGAGTGATCTGCGTTTTCCTTTTTCCAGATAAACTGACTGAAGGAGAATTCATTCAAGGAATCGTCCAGAACAAAGAAATTCTGCGTCTGATCCAATATGAACCCCAGAAAGTCAAAGAGAAGAAACACTAACCGGGAGCGCGGAGGATTCCGCAAAGACTGTGTAGCTGGTTTGTGACACCTCCCCCGACGAGTCCAACGAAACACAAACTGAGGCGCTTCTCGTCCCCAAACTGTCTGTACGCGACGCGCGTCACGTAGGATTGCGCTGTCTGTACGCGACGCGCGTCACGTAGGATTGCGCTGTCTGTAGGCGACGCACGTCACATAGGATTGCGCTGTCTGTACGCGACACGCGACGCGTAGGATTGCACTGTCCGTACACGACGCGCGTCACGTAGGATTGCGCTGTCTGTGCGCGATATGCGTCGCGTAGGATTGCACTGTCTGTGCGCGATGCGCGTCACGTAGGATTGTGCTGTCCGTACACGACGCGCGGCACGTAGGATTGCGCTGTCTGTAGGCGACGCGCGTCACGTAGGATCGCACTGTCAGTACGCAACACGCATCACGTAGGATTGCGCTGTCTGTACGCGGCGCGCGTTACATAGGATTGCGCCGTCTGTACACGACGCGCATCATGTAGGATCGCGCTGTCAGTACGCGCCGCGCGTCACGTAGGATTGCGCTGTCTGTGCAGTAATTAGTCTCCCCCGATAATCTGCGGATTACTTCTTCTACCCTGAAGGTCACTTCCAGTAATCTTGTTACATTAATACTCATCCTGCGAGATAATAATAAAGGTGCCGAAGCCGCAGGAGACAAAAACATTCCAAAAAGTTCCATCAGACCCGAGACATCAGAAAACGCCGGAATTCCTCGGTGACGCTCGCTGTCGGCGGCCGCGGAGTGAACGAGCTTTAGAAGATGTTTTTGTTTCGTAAAAATGTTATTTCTGCAAAAAAAAAGAAAAAAAATAGACGAGGAAATCTTCTTCTTCTTCTTCTTCTTCTTGTTGATCATTTGAGGACTTTGTTACTTTGTTGCTGAGAATGGAAAGTTTCGTGTGACAGGAAATCCCGGAACAATGTTTATGGGGACAAAGTGGAACTGAACTGTCACTTCAAATCGGCAAAATACAACCCGGGAGCGCGGGCGGTTGGGCCTCGTTCACACGCGTTTCGGTCCTGCGGATCTTTCCGCGCTGAACCGCCCACGTGAACAATCCCGTACATTCCTATGGGGACCGTTCATGCCAGCGCGCGGGTCCGCGGGATCCGAAACGCCTGACGCCCGTAATGCTCCCCGAGCTGCTTGTGTCGCGCCGATCAGCACGTTTCAGGGCCGAAAATTCAATTGAAAACGGCCAAAAAACGCCCTTTCAAAAATCGCGCAGAAAGCACAGCGAACCGCTGCCGCCCCGGTGTGAATGGGGCCCAAAGGTGAGCAAAGTCTTACGGTTTGCTTTGTTTAGAAAGCAGCCACAGCCCGAGCAGAGAAGCCTTCCCCCTGCCAAGATAAGGACCCTTCAATCTGTGTGTGGAAGCAGCGGCCTCTCTGCAGAGGAGGAGCCTGGCTCTCTGTGTGGAAGCAGTGGCCTCTCTGCAGAGGAGGATCTTTGCTCTCTCTGTGGAAACAGCGGTCTCTCTGCAGAGGAGGATCTTTGCTCTCTCTCTGTGGAAACAGCGGTCTCTCTGCAGAGGAGGATCTTTGCTCTCTCTCTGTGGAAACAGCGGTCTCTCTGCAGAGGAGGAGCCTTGCTCTCTGTGTGGAAGCAGTGGTCTCTCTGCAGAGGAGGAGCCTTGCTCTCTGTGTGGAAGCAGTGGTCTCTCTGCAGAGGAGGAGCCTGGCTCTCTGTGTGGAAGCAGTGGTCTCTCTGCAGAGGAGGAGCCTGGCTCTCTGTGTGGAAGCAGCGGTCTCTCTGCAGAGGAGGAGCCTGGCTCTCTGTGTGTGGAAGCAGTGGTCTCTCTGCAGAGGAGGAGCCTGGCTCTCTGTGTGGAAGCAGCGGTCTCTCTGCAGAGAGTAAAGGGCCCTTCTCTGCAGTATGCTGGCAGGGGGCGGGGCTTTTCTTCTCGGGCTGCGGAGGATTTCGCTCACCTCGCGTTTTCAGGCTCCTGGGTTGTATTTTGCTGAATTGTTCCTGTTTCAGGTTTAGATTTAAAGGGGAACTGACCCAGAAATGGATTGGAAGTGACGATCTCTGAGCCGTGTAATCTCCGACGGAGAAGATTTGATGATCCGCAAAGAAATAAATTCTCTTCACATTCTGTCATTTTGTTGCCTCTTTGTATCTCCTTCTCATCCTCTGGAGGCCGGACCATCAGCAGACGTCCCTCCCCCCTTCCCCTTCTAACCCTAACCCCCCCTTCTAACCCTAACCCCCCCTTCTAACCCTAACCCCCCTTCTAACCCTAACCCCCCTTCATGTCTTATTATGAACCCAATTCTGGAGATCAGCAAAAACATAAACATTGTATCAGATGGTTGGGCCGGAAGTGTGACGATCCTCAGCCCT